GTTAATGCCTTGGCCCTGACTTTTTCAAAGCAACAAAATGATTTTTCTGCAGTACTTGGCAAGTAGATTTGATAATAACTGCTCAGTACCAGATCAGTGCTTTAATGGCCCAGGCTACCTCTCTACAGCTGTATTCCCTGGACCGGTAGACATTGAAACCCTGGGGTAGGTCCCCAGTGACTCCTCCCAGCTGGCTGCAAGGCAGGTTGTGGAAGCAGATTCCCAGGGGAAGAGGCTGGATCTAACTGTGGGATGCAGGATCACAGTGAGTGGTTATTACTGTGGGATGCTCAAAATTGGTTACAGGTGGGATTTATCCCCTGTAACATAAAATACCTAAAAGCTAGATGTCCAGCCTAAACTAGCACATTGAGAAAAACAACATTCTTGAGGGACCTGTGTCTCTCCATTGACTAAAGGAATTCATAAATTGATAGAAGACACTAAACTTGGTGGTGGCTAACAATAGGTGAGATAAATTCTACTTTTAAAGATTGAAGCGTTTTCTGCAAGAGAAAATGACATACTGCATCTCCCTAAACAGACAGGCCTGAGCAGTTTAGTGTTATCAAAGGATGTGTGCCAATTACAGTCAGATACTGTTGAAAATCCCCTGCTCTCTCCCTTGTTCCTCTAGCTAGCGTGTATGATTACTTGTGAGTTATCCAGACACCTTTTCTGGGTTCCCAGAAAATCAGTTAAAGGTTGAAAGATAGAGTAGGAAGATGGAAGGAAGAATATAATTTCAGGGCATTTAGGTGCTGAGCATGCAGGTGTGGGGAGGGAAAATAGCATACCAAAGTGCTCAAGCCTCATACTATGCTTACCCTCGCTTACCCTCCTGCCCACGTATGTAAGAGGCTTTGCAACCAGCATGGCACTTCTCTGGAGTTTTGCATTTACTAGGTGGGCAGTAAAGAGGAATCATCTTCACAGTGCCAAATGCCACTGTGCACTCTGAGCGCTGTTGCCCGATTCCAGACACAGGCAGTGGTTGGTTTGTCAGCCAGCACAGCTTCAATACCTATGGAAGCCAAGAGAAGTCTGCAGAGTATAGACTTATGGCTGGATTTACAGCTGAGTCTGGAGTATGTAACCTGGGCAGCTCTGCCCCGCCTCTGAATGCACAAGGGAGGCTTACACTTTTGCAGATGTTTTAAAAGCTGTCCTATTATTTATTCATGCAGTTGGGTTAATTCAACCTGGCTGCAATAGAAACAATGCTTACAATACACAATTCTAACACGCGTTTTCACATCGAGCGAAAGCTAAACTAACACAGCAAGTGGCATCAATAATTGACATTTCTTTCGGGAAGGAGACGACGGGCCAGGAAGGCTCCAGGGCAAGGTGCAGGATATGAAAGAGCAGAGACATCTCCCCTGCGTACAGCCTCGCTCACAGCAGGCTGTCAGAGCCTGTCCAACAACTACTGCCTGCTCATGGCCACCCTGTCTAGGCATTTGAGCTTGCCAGGACTAGCAGTGCCAGTTCTTCTTCTGCCCACTTGGGCCACAAAAATGACTGTGGCACTGGGCAAATTGTGCAGAAGCTACTGCAGGAGCTATCCTGCCTGCCACGTGCTCTCCAGGGAATACCACGCACCCTAACACTGGCTTGCTAAGTGTGGGTAGATGTGGGGACTGTGAGACGGCCCTTGCAGAGTTCATTCTCCCAACCTGTGCCAGTGGTCCTGAGCTAGTTTGACTGGAGTTGGATGGGGAATGAGAACCAGACTAGGTCTTAGACAGTTCTAAAATGCCAAAAGGTCTTTCAGCTGCCTCTTGCTCCGACAGAAACAGCTCAGAAGTTGTGACTAGCCCTTGAGCTATAGTACACTGGAAATGCCCACACACTATGCTACACTGCCAGCCCTCTTCTTCCTGCAGCATGGACAGGAAAAATACCCAGGATGATAATCCTGGGCCAGAATTTCTCCTAGCAATGCCTTGTTTCCATGCATGTCACACCACTGGATGTGCAGCCATTCCCCAGTCAGCTCTCACAAGCAGCTGATGAAAATTTGCTTGCAAAACCCACCAAGCATTGCTATCCCCAACCTCAGAACTGACAAAGGAAGAGAGTGAAAGTACCTGCAAACAGCACAGCTACAAACAGCTGAATGTGTGTGGTTTTTCCTTCCTGTTTTAGAACATTTTGTGTGTATTTGATATCTGCTTTTATCTTTGCCTTTAAGGAAGACGAATCAGCAATCTATTGTGAAGAGGGGATGGCAGCACAGATTGTTAGTGCAAGAACATCATCTATTGCCTGGAGAGATCAGACACAGGTTTGAACCCCGAATTCAGACTCAGTTGCTTGATATATGTCCAAGTTCACACAGTCCATGCCCAAGATATGTCCATGTACACACAGCCTCAACAGCTCAGTTCCCATCTTTGAGCCTTGCTTTCTACATCGGTAAATAGGATGGCAGAGTCACTCTTTCATTGAACATTTGGAGTGCTACATTTGGAGGTGCAGTGCAAACTGAGAGTAATGAGCATGATGGAATAGGGCCACCTGCTTTAATGGCCCTCCTGCTACATGCAGAGACAAGACAGGCAACCACAACATACCAGCTCCTGGGCATTGAGGCTGGGAGGCAGACACCAAGCTTTGCAATAGGGACTGTTCCCAGGAGCTGCTGACACAATTTGTAGTCACACGTGAGGCAGAAGAACATGGTCATTTGCAGGGATGATGCCAAATTTAGGACTACAAGGAAGTGCCAGCCTATTGCTATTGCAATATTTCCCTGTCTGTGCAGAGGTTAGGTTTGGACTTCACAAGAGTATCTGTCAGGGGAAGCAGCCCACACATTGCTCGCTGGAGAAAAAGAGGCAATTACTTTTAATTGTAGCTCTCAGCATGAAGAGACTGGAGAGAACATGTGTCTTGTTGCTGGCCAAATCAATACCTATACAGTATATTAAAAAAAGAGCTGGACCAAAGGTCAGGTACCTGCAGCAATAAGCAGCAGCAATTGCAGCAGG